ATTTTTTTTTTTTTTTTACTTATTGTAGAGATGAGGTCTTGCCAAGTTGCCAGGCTGCTCTCGAACCCGCGGGCTCAGGCAATCCTCTCACCTTGGCCTCCCAAAGTGCTGGGATTATAGGCATGAGCCACCGTGCCCTGCCATATTATTTAATTTTATTGGGCATTGATTATAATAAGTCATTGTAGTTACTTGGTTCACATTGTGAAATCCAATAAGTAGAGCTGGGTTGGATAGCAGGTCTATTGTTTTTTTTTTTTCTTTGTTTTTTTTTTGAGATGGAGTCTCACTCTGTCGCCCAGACTGGAGTGCAGTGGCCACTCCCGGCCACCACAGCCTTGACTTGCTGGGCTCCAGCGATCCTTCCGCCTCAGCCTTCCAAGTAGCTGGAACTATAGGTGCGCATTACCACATCCGGCTAATTTTTTATTTATTGTAGAGATGAGGTCTCACCAAGTTGCCGAGGTGGGTCTCGAACCCGCAGGATCAGGCAATCCACTCACCTCAGCCTCCCAAAGGTGTGGGATTACAGGCTGAGCCACTGAGCCCGGTTTAAGTCTATTGTTTTCAATTGCCCTCCCACATATTCACTTCTCACAGAGCTTTCCCTTAGTCCCATGTAATGGGCAACGGGCCATTGTTTTGTTTTGTTTTGTTTTATTTTTTGAGTTGGAGTCTCACTCTGTCACCCAGGCTGGAGTGCAGTGGCACACTCCCGGCCACCGCAGCCTCAACCTGCTGGGCTCAGACAATCCTTCCTCTTCAGCCTTCCAAGTAGCTGGAACTATAAGTGCACGCCATCATACCCAGCTAATTTTTTTGATTTATTGTAGAGACGAAACCTTACCAAGTTGCCCAGGCTGGTCTCAAACCCTGTGGGCTCAGGCAGTCCTCTAGCTTTGGCCTCCCAAAGTGCTGGGATTACAGGCTTGAGCCACTGCGCCTGGCCAGTGGGCCATTGTTAACTCATTCCCGGGCCATAGCTGATTGAACCAAGGTAGACAACTAACCTAAGCTGAGCTAATCAGATTCTCTTCCCTAAGACTTTGGAAGGAGTCAGATACTTCAGTTAGCTAACTGCAGGTGCAGAACTGATATGAATATAAAATTGAAGTTTGGGGAACCATGTTTGGGCCACATAAACTGGAATCAGGTAGCAGAAAAAGCAAGTCTTTGTCCAATCTATTTAATGTCTGTCTCCCTACAAGACTATAAGCTCAAAGTGCATGTCTCTTTTGCACACCACCGGTCAAGTATGACTGTAGTCCTAGAGTCTGGTACAGTGCCTGATACATAACAGGCATGCAATATTTGTTGAATGAAGTTATGACCAGATTCACCACTTAGGATATAAATAGGCTATTTGTCTTATTTCTTATATTAATTGTTTAAGCGTGCATTGACTTTTATTAATAGGAAGTCATTATTTTCCTTTTGAGGCCTCTGTTCCCCCTGACCTGGTAAATAACTCTGGATACCTGTTCATTCTAAGGCGATAAGTCTTATTTATTTATAAACTCTGGACATAATTTGTAAACTCTAGTGAGAAATTCCAGTGAGTCCACTAACACTTGTTTCTCCCACTGGTCCTGCCCAGTGCAATGGTTTAAAACACTGAGGTTACAACTTTTTTTTTTTTGAGTTGGAGTCTCACTGTCGCCCAGACTGGAGTGCAGTGGCCGCTCCCGGCCACCGCAGCCTCAACCTGCTGGGCTCCGGCGATCCTTCCACCTCAGCCTTCCGAGTAGCCGGAATTACAGGCACGCGCTACCATGCCCGGCTGATTTTTTTTGATTTATTGTAGAGATGAGGTCTAGCCAAGTTGCCCAGGTGGGTCACGAACCCGCGGGCTCAAGCAATCCACTCACCTCAGCCTCCCGAAGGCGCGGGATTACAGGCTGAGCCACCGAGCCCGGCTAGGTTACAACTGTTAAATTAATGCTTCACGCTCAGCTGTTATTGATCCTCAAAACACATCACTATAGCAGTCCTAGGGCTTTAAGCCTTAGAACCAGCCCAACTCCCAAGAGCCCTTAAGCTCCAGTGTTGAGCTCTGATTCTTGCTGCCCTCAAGGTAATTTCTTCTTTGTACCACTGGTGTCTTTTCCTGCCACCCCAACAGATTTTCACAATTTTAAATCTAGAGAAGAGATTAAATTCTTGGCCGCTTCCTTCTCAAAAAGCCCCTTGCCTTCTTATGCAAATTGCTCTATTCTCTCCCCAAGAACTCTCCAGAACTCTGAACATTGCTAACACAAAGGGAAAAACAAAATGAAAAAAGTGTTATTCTTGGGCTGAGAGTGCCTTCTTGACTGCCATTTACATAACTAAAGAAACTAGACAAATGATTTTTCTATAATAAAAAACATTCCCAGACTGAGTCACAATTTTTATCTATAAACTTCAGAGAGGTTGAGATAATTTTTTAAAATTTCCCTTTACTAGGCACTTTGTTATAAAAGAATAGATGAAGGTGCAGCTACCTGGAATGTGCTTTTAGCATACTTCTTTCAAGAATCTGAGGGGGTCAGGCGGAGTGACTCACACCTTTAATCTCAGCACTTTGGAAGACGGAGGCGAGAGGATTGCCTGAGCCAGAGGTTCCAGGCCAGCCTGAGCAACATGGTGAGACCTCGACTCTACAATAAATACAAAAAAAATTAGCTGGGTTTGGTGGTGCGAGCCTGTGGTTCCAGCTACTTGGAAGGCTGAGGCAGAAAGATCACCTGAACTCAGCAGGTTGAGGCAGTGGTGGCTGTGAGCTTGCTACTGCATTCCAGTCTGGGCGACAGAGTGACATTCGATTCAAAAGAAAGAAAAAAAGAAAGAATCTGCAGAGGTAGTAGGCCAAGGATTTGGGTCATCTGAGTTCTAACTGTTCCCTGAATTATCTAACAAGATGTAAGGGCAAGAGGAAGGAGTGTCAAGTATGACCTCATGTTGATTACATCTGCAAAGACCCTATATTCAAATAAGTTCACATTCACAGGTATAGGGGAAGGAAGTTAGGATTCCAGCATCTTTTTGGTGGGCACAATTCAACTTACAACAGAGGACAACAACCACTAAACACCAACATCTGTGTCAAGGGTTATATCTCTTGCTGCTTTCAATCTCTGAGGTGCTAGAATTATGTTGTGTTCTGCATAGAAATGAGAATAAGTTTCATTTCCTCTACTTTGTGTTAGCTTTTGTCCTCCTGTGTCTCGTGGGGTTCCTTGTAAAATCAGCTGCTCACATTTTTCCTGAAACTTCTTTCTCTACAGGATCCAGAGACCAGTCCACAGGGCTAGTCAGGAGACAGACAGTACACAAGAGGAACCAAAAAAAAAAAAAAAACCCAGGAATTTATGTTTTTAAAATTGTGTATATGTTTTTTTTTGTTTTTTGTTTTGAGTTGGGAGTCTCACTCTGTCGCCCAGACTGGAGTGCAGTGGCCGCTTCTGGCTATTGCAGCTTCGACCTGCTGGGCTCCGGCGATCCTTCCGCCTCAGCCTCGAAGGAGCCGGAACTACAGGCGCGCGCTACCATGCCCGGCTAATTTTTTGATTTATTGTAGAGATGAGGTCTCGGTAAGTTGCCCAGGCGGGTCTCGAACCCGTGGGCTCAGGCAATCCACTCACCTCGGCCTCCCAAAGCATGGGATTACAGGCTGAGCCGCAAACCCGGCTTGTGTATGTATTCTTACATGTTTCAATTTCAGTCACCTTCAAAGTACTCTCCATTTGATGCAATACGCCTATAGAACCAGTTTTTCCACTGCTCAAACAGTTTTTGAATTTGTCGATTTTAATGCCTTTTAGTGCTTTTACATTGGCAAAATGTTCACTTTGAGGACTTTTTTCATCCAGGGAAATAAAAAAATGTTGCTTGGAGCGAGATTGGGTCAATAGGGAGGGTATGGACACCGAGGTTATGCTGTTTTTGGTCAAAAACTGCTGAATCCTCAGCGCGGTGTGGGCAGGTGCATTGTCATGGTGGAAGAACCAGTCACCTGTTTGCCACAATTCAGGATGTTTCTTCCACAAATTGTGACACAACCTCCTCAAAACTTCCAGATAAAAATTTGGTTGACTGTTTGATCTGGTGGAACAAATTCCAAGTGTACTACAAAGGGCCTGCACTCCAAAAGATAATTCTGATTTTGGGGGGATTCCTCCTCATATAGCAGTGTTATCAAGAAATGTGAGCTCTACAGTTAAAGTTTCTGGATCTACTAACATGTGTGATGTTGGTTAAATTATTTAATCTCCTTAAGCCTTAGGCTCCTCATGTGGAAAGTGAGTACAAATGATACCTACCTCATTTGAGGATTAAATGAGATATAAGCATATAAAACATTCAGACAGGTTCCTGGCATATAGTAATTGTTCAAATGAGTGTGAACCTGTCACTGAGATTAAACAGGTTAATATATTTTCATAATTGCTGTAAATATTTTGCTTTAAAACAAAATAAAGCATTACAGACACATCTAGAGCCCCTTCCCTTATCCATTCCACCCCCACTTGTCCCTCCTCAAAGGTAATTGTCATTTCTAATTGCCATGCAGGTTTATGTATC